TACTACAGGGAGGAAGGGGGGAGAGTATTACAGGGAGGGAGGGAGGGGAGAATATTACAGGGAGGGGGAGGTGAGGGTCTCTGGGGGAGTTACACAGCGCGGACACCGGCTGACAGACTGGCACTAAGCCCTATCCTGAAAATAAGCCCTAGTGTGTTTTTTGTGACTAAAATTAATATAAGACCCGGTCTTATTTTCGGAGAAACACGGTATACAACTCTCTCAAGGATCAAATGGTAAACAAATGGTAGTAGTGAGATAGGGCGGTAGTTGTATGGGAAGTTAGGATTAAGTTGGGCTATGTTAGAATATGGGTTACGGTTCCATGCATGGATGAAGCAAATATGCCAGAGGAGAGGGAGAGATTGAATATTTTAGTAAGGAATAGTTTTCTCCGAGGCTGATGGTGGTATAATTTTGGGTACAAGGTTTGCTGATGGCAATGGTTAGCATTTGGGGATCAGAGACTGGTGAAGATGAGATCAAGAGTGTCTCCTGCTGTATGAGTGCCTGAATTAGACCATTGTGTAAGGTCAAATGAGGAGGTTACAGAGAGCAGCCTAGAGGCATCAGAGCAGTTGGGATTATTGATTGGGATATTAAAGTCCCCAATTGTAAGGGAATGAGTGCTAGAGGAGAGGAATAAAAGGGTTCAATGAATAGACCAGAATGATTGGGGATGGGGCTTGGGTAAAACATTTGTTTTGTTTTGATTTGTTAATTTTTAAGTGTTCTTGCATAGCAAGACCACTTAATGTTATCTCACATATATATTCTTATTCTTATTATAGCCAAATTTGCCACCCTAACTCCTCCCACAGTTTTTACACTACATAGACAAAAATTTACCAAACCGTGCAGATTGTTCCCGATCGGATTGCTATTACTTTGTGGAACGTTTCGCCGAATGGTTCACGGAATATCGTCGTTCTTGTGGCGCAATTTGTCCCATAGGAATGAATGGCAAAGCTAGAGTGGGAGCTGTCAAAAGCTGAAAAATCAGGACATGATTTCTAAACTGCCACCACTCCCTTATTTTCAGGCCCACCTACACAAATCTTATATCAAAACGTTCAGCTATCCCTGCTGCCACTAAACATGTCAACGGCTAAGCCATAGTCCTGATAGTTTTCACAATATAATCATTTGTTTGCAACTAACGCCGTCCATTGACATTCATTGAAACTTCACTCTACAAAGCTCAAATTTGAAGTGCAATTTCTAAACTGTGACTGTGCCTTCATTTTTAATACTTCAGAGACATACTATGCATCAAAATGTAGGTCTGGGTCTTGTGATTCTCACAATATAAAGCTCTTCACTGTAGGAGTTATAGTTTTTAAGATACGACCGTTTGAAGATGGCAACCACCAAAATACTCTGACCTGTGTCAAGCTGCAGCAGCAAGTGATGTCATAGACAGGGCCTTTTGAACACCTGCTAATGTTTTTATAACTGTATGGTTTAATGTAACTGTGCAACAACCTTGCAATTAAATGTGCTATATAAATGATAACAGTTACTCCGCCCACTCCAGTTGTAGACTACAGGTGGAGGCAAGAACACTTCACACAATTTCCCCAGAAATTGTAGCTTTTCTAGTTATTCTTATTATAGCAAAATTTGCCACCCTAACTCCTCCCACAGTTTTTACACTACATAGACAAAAATTTACCAAAACGTGCAGATTGTTCCCGATCGGATTGCTATTACTTTGTGGAACGTTTCGCCGAATGGTTCACGGAATATCGTCGTTCTTGTGGCGAAATTTGTCCCATAGGAATGAATGGCAAAGCTAGAGTGGGAGCTGCCAAAAGCTGAAAAATCAGGACATGATTTCCAAACTGCCACCACTCCCTTATTTTCAGGCCCACCTACACAAATCTTATATCAAAACGTTCAGCTATCCCTGCTGCCACTAAACATGTCAACGGCTAAGCCGTAGTCCTGATAGTTTTCACAATATAATCATTTGTTTGCAACTAACGCCGTCCATTGACATTCATTGAAACTTCACTCTGCAAAGCTCAAATTTGAAGTGCAATTTCTAAACTGCGACTGTGCCTTCATTTTTAATACTTCAGAGACATACTATGCATCAAAATGTAGGTCTGGGTCTTGTGATTCTCACAATATAAAGCTCTTCACTGTAGGAGTTATAGTTTTTAAGATACGACCGTTTGAAGATGGCAACCACCAAAATACTCTGACCTGTGTCAAGCTGCAGCAGCAAGTGATGTCATAGACAGGGCCTTTTGAACACCTGCTAATGTTTTTATAAATGTATGGTTTAATGTAACTGTGCAACAACGTTGCAATTAAATGTGCTATATAAATGATAACAGTTACTCCGCCCACTCCAGTTGTAGACTACTGGTGGAGGCAAGAACACTTCACACAATTTCCCCAGAAATTGTAACTTTTCTAGTTTTGTTTTGTTTCTATTGAAATTCAGTAAAATATTGATTTAGACAAACTGAGTTAAAGTAACAATTTATGGAGTTATCTGCTAAACTAAGGAAAGTTTACAATTAATAAAAGCCATTTTGAAAAACTTGATCTTTCAGCTATTTAGTAGATAATTCCCCAATTTGCTATCCTTACATGGGATTGCCATACTTAAGGATACCAAATAAATAATCTATCTGCTAAACAGCACCCTAATTTGGTATCTTTAAATATGGCAATCCCAATGATAGGTTAGTAAATTAGAATATTCTTGAATAAAGTTTTTTTTTTTTTATAAATTCTTTATTTTTGAAAGTGTTTTGGGGGGGTGGGGGTACAGAATAAAAAACAGGGGGTTAAGGTTGGTGGTACAGTTTTTGCTGAACATACATTTTCTTTTTATGACAGTCAAACATTCTGAACAGGTGAACAATCTTATCTTCCTTGGTTTCGGCATGTATTGTTTGCGTATAGATAACTTCTCAGTTCATATCGTCCACTGATATTTTTGGTCTTAGGTTGGGAAGTGATACAAAAACGAAGAGGGAAGGGGGTAGTGTACACAATCATATACAGTTCTTATTTTGCCTTTAGTTACTGTGGTGTTGACACTCTATTGAATGAACAGGATCTTGTTCTGGAGGGGGGTGTGAGTGGAGGGCTTTTTTGTTCTGGTTGGCTTTCTGCGCCCTTCTTGTAATGTGTACCTTGTGTTTGTGGGGTGCTTTGTGTGACGGGGTTTGTGGCCTTTGCGCCACTTGTTTGGGGTGCGGGTCCATGCCAAGCAGGGGTCAGTGGGGGAGGGTTGTGCCCCTCCCTTTTTTGCTAATACCTTTAATGTTTCCCTGTTGTGTGTCCACAGAAGGGGGGGCGTTCCTTATGTCCTCAGGTGTGCCTTGTCTTTGGCCCTGGGGGATGTAGGTGGAGGGTTGGGGTGGTGGGTAGGGGGGGTCCAGGTTAAATGGTTGTCGTTCCTTTCCTAGGGGTGTTTGGCGTCGTAGATGTCGCCCTTGAGTTTCGTGTTTTTGTCGGTGCTTTGTGTTAGTGTGGGGGGGTAGTCCGTGTGGGTCGGCCGTTGGATGTGGGGGGGTGCGTTGACTGTATGGTGGGTGGTGTCCTTAAGTGGGAGGGGTGGAGAGTTTTCTAGGGGATGGTCGTCCGTGGTGGTGTTCCGCTTATGTGGTTAGGGGGAATTCCATGAGCCAGGGGTCCCATATTTTATGGTAGGATTTGGTGTTGTCATGGATGAGTGCCGAGAGGTAGACCATCTCTCTTGTTTCTTTAACCTTCCGTATCACTATGGGATGAATAAAGGTTTTATTTGTTATCAGATGCAATTAATCACATTTAGCAGGTGGAGACAGGTATCATCAGTAACAATCATTTTTAGGAATTTACATTATCTGAATAATCAATCACGCAGGACTGATCTACGATTTGCAAGAAAAATAAACAGGGACTCCAGAATCCTTTTAGAATACTCATGAGATTACTGCAAACAGATCATACAGGTAGCAAGAGGCAGTGTTTTGTTCCCTGTAACCAGTTTAGCTAGGCTATGTGATACCCTATCTCATAGTGAGTGGCCATGGCTGGAGTGGGATGCCCATCGTCTGTTACTGTTGTGCAGTCAGTGGGCAAATGAGGTTATGAAGGCATTAGGCAGTCCAGTCTCCAGTCCCTCGTGTGTCGTTTGTCATATATAAGGGATCCCTTATAAACCAACTAGCATTGAGATGGTCCCAACCGGCAGCCCGAGGTCCGCTACCCTATTGAAACTGTACTTCCCCAGCTGACGCATTCTCCTCAACTGTGTCTGTCAAGGTACCATACGTCAGTAGGGCTTGAAAATCAATTGATATGCGTCAAGTAGCCATTGGGTCCAGATATCCGTATACATTTGAGTGCGTCCCTGGGCCAAAAAAGACAGTTAGACAGTTAGAATCCGTATGGACATGGATTTCTTGTATTTGGATGCCGGGGTGGTAGTGTGGTGTAGGAGGAAGAGGGCCTGTCGGAAAGGTGGTGGATTGTCTGAGAATTTCACTAATCACTAATTGCCCTTCAAAAAGGCTGTATTTTAGGGCAGTCCCACCATACATGCATGAACGTGCCCAATGTGGCCTGACATTAAACAATGATCTACTAAACAACTGATAGATCAAAAGAAAAGGGCTTTTAATTTTAATTGTTTAGCAGTTTAGTAGATAACTCCCTAATTTACTATCATTATGTAGATGGTCTTAAGGATATGAAATTAGGGAGCTTTCTACTAAGCAACTGAAAGCAAAAAGAAATGCCCTTTTCTTAAATTTTTCAGTTGTTTAGCAGACAGCTCCCTTACTTGCTAACCTTTATCACAATGAGTGCATCGAAAATCGATTTGATTTGTTAGTTAACAAACTTCTGGTTAGTTAAATTCGATTTGCTCCGAAACACATTGCACAAGTCTAGAATGAGCTGCATCTCACCCAATGGCAATCCCTTGATCTAGGCTTGCTGTATCCCTTGAAGGGTACATGCTGGTGATTCCTTTTCTGGATGACCTTTGTTGGTGGCCTCAATATGATATGGTATAAGTGGTATAAGTTTCGTTATGTTTCCCCATGTGAACTATAACTTGTCTGAGACCTGAACTGGAAATAGCCATATACTAAACTGTTGTGTTTTTGTCTGGTCTCTGTGTCCTCTCACACTCTATTTTGACTTATGTGAACAATTTATGATAAATGGCAATATCCATTGTACTACATTTTCTACTCAACCAGGGCTGTCTTTAACATTGATTGGACCCTGGGCAAGCATTTGCTTGGGCCCCCTGGATCCTGCCCTTCCCCTCCACACATTTCCACCCCCTGGCATGCAGTCATGCCCTCCACCCCAATACAGTGGCATAACTAATGTAGAGAAGGCCCAGGTGCAAGACATTTTTTGGGGCCTCCCATCTAGCACAATAATGGAGAAAAGATAGATCCTCATCTGTTGTACAATTCCCACGATGCTATGCCAGTTGGGGATCTACCATTTGGTCATTCTTGCAGGGCTGTATTTGTGAGCAGTGTTTGTAAATTTGAATGTGAGCATGTTGTTGTATAGAGTATGTGTGTGCATGTACGGTGTAGTATTGGTGTTAGAGTGAAGGGGTGTGTTTCTATATACTTTTTGAGTTTGAATTCAGGGGCGTGTTTGTATGTAATGTTTGTGTTTGCAGGGGTGTGTTTGCATGTTGTGTTTGATTGCTTGGATGTATGACATACATTCACAGATATCCATACACATTAGCACACTGATACATGCACACATCTGGACACATGCACAGACTGATACAAACAGACTGGCGTATACACACACAGACACATACATACATACACACACACACACACAGATACAAAGATAAAAACACTGGCACATCCACACACAGAGATACACACTTACACACACTGACACAGATATAGACACACATTAAGATGCACACAGACACACGGGTACACATGCAGGGGTGTATTTGTGTGCAGTGTTGGCAAATGAATGCTTGGATGTATGCATTGCCACACAGATGCACACTTACACAAACACTGAGATACACACAGATACACATGCAGTGGTGTATTTGTGTGCAGTGTTAGCGTTGGAATGTAGTAGTGTATATGTGTGCAGTGTTGGTACTGGAATGATGGAACGTATGCATTGCCACACGCATAGATACACACTTACACAACCTGACACTCACATACATACACAGACACGCAGGTACACATACAAACTGACACACAAGTACACGGACACAGGTATACATCCACATAGATACACATAAACACTGACACAAAGGTACACATACACTGACACAAACACAGCCAGATACACACACACAGCCAGATACAAACGCACACACATACAGATACACACGCATAGTCAGATACACACGCATAGTCAGACACACACGCATAGTCAGATACACACATACAGTCAGATACACACACACATACATAGTCAGATACACACACATACATAGTCAGATACACACACACAGTCAGATACACATATACAGTCAGATACACACATAGTCAGATACACACATACAGTCAGATATACACACATAGTCAGATACACACACACACATAGTCAGATACACACATAGTCAGATACACAAATACATAGTCAGATACACAAATACATAGTCAGATACACACACACAGTCAGATACGCACACACAGTCAGATATACACACACACAGTCAGATATACACACACACAGTCAGATATACACATACAGTCAGATACACACATACAGTCAGATATACACATACATAGTCAGATATACACATACATAGTCAGATATACACATACAGTCAGATATACACACATTTATATCAATTTAAGTCTAGCCACCCTCTTGTCTCCTTACCTTTAGAGAAGGGTGGCTTCCCTGGGGTCCAGTGGAAGCTGGATGGCTGAGGTTGATGGGAGTCTGATGAACATGTTTACCTCAGTCCCTCTCCTTCACCTCCTCCTCCTGTGTGTGCATCCTCCCTCTCCTCCACTTCCATGTGTGTCTCCTCCTCCCCAGCGGCACTCTGTTACTTGGGAGGAAGTGATCTCACCTCACTTCCTCCCAGCAGGCATACAGACAGGGGCCCGATCGGGTGCTCAATTAAAGGGCCGGGGGGCCCTGATTACTTCACTTGCCGCAGCCCACTGGGATATTTCTCAGTATCCCGGTGGGCTGTTCAGTCCTGGCTGCGGGCAGGGGGCCCACGGGACAGCTGCTTTGGGCCCCCCGGGAGCAACTGGGCCCGGGGCAGCTGCCCCGTTTGCCCCTTGTTAAAGACGGCCCTGTACTCAACATGTTTTAGTTCGTAATATATCTCACCAGTCATCATTGGATGCAGCGAACCCTACAGTGGGCCTGACCCTTCACATGTGGCTCCACATATACAAGCTCCACTTTTGTTATATTGCAGGTTTTGGACTCACTTAAAGTAACACTAAAGTTACGCAGGCCACTTCACCTCAATGAATTGGGTGCAATCTGTCTGCTTGAAACTCGGTCATGTGATGCCAAAGTCCCATAGGAAAGCATTGAGAATTTGTAATACGAGGAACATCGGATTGGACCTTCGTGACATCGGCAGGGGAGAATAGGTCAGCATAGCCGAGGGATCCTCGGCGCTGGAATAAGGCAAGTAAAAAAAAAAACTGTTTTTGCTTTTATTTTTGCTTTGATGGTTGGGGACAGGAGGGACTAAAGCAGGTATAGGCAACCTTCGGCACTTCAGGTGTTTTGGACTACACCTCCCCTGATGCTTTGCCAGCATTATGGGTTTAAGAGCATTATGGGGGATGTAGTCCACAGCATCTGGAGTGCCAAAGGTTGCCTATCCCTGGACTATAGCTTTAGGAATACAGATTCAAGTCTAATAAACGCCTGTAACCCAGGAACAGAGCATCACTTCTACTACCTCCACAAACTCATTTAGAAGTCAGACTTATGTCAAATGTCGTCCCAGTTTGTCAGATTCTTAGGATCTGCTCATTTTATTCTGTTATATGAAAAAATGATTATAAATAGAATGGTGCAAATGGGAGAAGGATCTTAGTACATGCAGCAACAACCAACAAAAACAAATCCTGGTAAAACGATTTGAACATAAAATAACTTACAGTAGTGATGGTGCGCAACAACAAAAATCGCATTCACTATGGATCTCTTATAGAGAGTGGAAGTACCCCTGTGTACATGAAATGAGGTGTATACAGAGTGGAAATATTATTAGTAATTGAAACACAAACAGTGGTTGTGATAAAACAAAGCACAATCTGTAGGTATACTTGCAAACACGGAAATCACTCGGACACCTATTAAGGAGACAAAAACAGAAAGAGAGCTCCTAGTGCAGCATAGTAATTCACTTATAGATATTTAAAATAAAGCAAACAGAGGTACCGATGGACCCGGAACCAGGAAGTGAATTGGAGACAGTCGGCAGCAGCAGCCAGGACAGCAGCCGGAGGAATTTTTACATTGCATGAGTATATGGAACTTTCTTTGCGGTTTCCTGAGGCTGGTGAGCGGACTAACTACCTCCACAACAAGTTTTGCTGTTTTTAAATTGCTATTAACCCCTTAAGGACAGAGCT